AAAATCTGATTCTTAATCGTTTGAGATCTAATGAATTTGTGTTTGTGAGGAGATTTTTGACTTTTTGTCGACGTTTCCTTAAAAACTGCTGAACCGATTTCAAAAATTCAAAAAACATTCGATGTAACATGATGCGACGATCGGCCAAGCTGTTTGTTTACAATTAGCAGAAAAGTAAAAAAAAGAACAATCTAAGTATTGATACAATCTGGTATTTGTGCTGATTAGTTTTTGGTAAAGATCTGAAGAGCTATTCTTTTGTAACCATTTTTGCAATTTTTTTATGACGATTTTGATGAATCTTTATATGACGATAGGTTTTGTAGTTTGAAATAATATACTAAAATATTATAGGCCTACGTTCAGTGGTTGAATTATAAAAATAAAAATCATCAAAGTTTAGAATTTCGCTGCGCGCTTGAGCGTCCTGTGTTTTGTTCGTAGCTACTGATTACAGTGGCGGCCACTCTTGAATAAAATACATTTTTAGAGTTCAAAATGGATGAAATGAAATGGGATAAATTAATTGAGTTTATGAAATTATTGATCATTTAGTATGTTATAAGAAAGACATTACATGCAAATTGTATTGATCTTTTAGTTATAATAAAAATTTTATTTTCTAAATGAACAGGTGAACAGTTTACCAAAATATCTGAATTTCAATTTTTTTTAAGTTGATTAGATCTACATATTGGGAAATTTATACGTCTTGCCTCAAGAGAAAATGCCCTTACGCCCAGTTTACTTATTATTTTGCTTTTTCAGGTTTCTCTCAGCAAACAACAACGAATAGCTTTGTATCAGACAGCAACTTTTCATCAGTTTTTGGAAATTCAGAAACTACAGGTAAGTTTTTTTTACTGCCTTGAACTTATTTAGAATCTGAACACATTATAAATATTCTAACAAAATCGTATGTGGTTTTTTGTGTCTTACTGAATTCTAAATGTACACTAGTCTATATAAATAGCATGTAGTAGTTGATCGAAACTAATGTTTCTGATAACCTTCTTCAGTTTAATGTGATTCTTTAAACTTAATGCAAATACTAAGTCTCCAAGAATTTACCATCAAGATTTACAGCATCACATTAAAACGATTTTCAAAACATCTTTCTCACAAGTTAGTTTTTGCAGAATTTTTCTTTGTAATTGGTGCAATTAGTTGCCAATTACCTTAATGCTTGGTTCAGTTTTTTCTGCAAAAACTTTTAACACTTCTGTCTACTGTCTGAAATATGAATTTTCCTAAACAGTGTTGTCTTAACAATTTTTGATTAACAAATTTTCTCGTACTATTTTTTTGCATGCAACACTAATATGTTTATTGACTTGAGACTAACGCTCCAAATACATTCCACAAACCCACCTATTTTATAAAAGTATTGTCAAAGATAACGGTCTTTCAGCACCACAATCAAACGATTCTGTCAATACGAGCAATTAGTTTATAGACTAAATTATTATTACAAATATCCAATTATCTATTACCATCATCGCGCGTTCTGTCCAATTTTTACCGTAAAACCAAAAATTTTTCCAAGCCGCTAACGAAGGACTTGTGCAAGAAGACCAACAGAATCCGTTCTCCGGTGGCGACCAGATGGGTGCTCTATCCCAACAGTCCCAACAGGAACAGTTCCAAATGTCCCAAACTAATTTCCAACAGCAACAACAGCCTCCCCAATCCAATTTCCAACAACAGCAACAATCGCCGAAGCCTAAGAGCGCCGTCGACGATTTGAACGACTCGATCAGGATGGCGCTCGGAGGCGGATCTCCGGCCAGACAGCCGATGATGTCGCCGGCGAGACAGATGACAGGTCCAGGAAAATGATTTTGAAACGACAAATCACTGTCTGTGCCTGGTCTTTTTTTGTTTTTGATATTATGTTGAGTTTTGCACCTGGGTAAAAAATGGCCCTGAATTAAAAAAAAAATTAGGGAGGACAATCTTACAATACCTAAAACAATAAATATTTTTGGAGGTAAATTCAAGGTTTGGCACGAGTTTAAGAAAATCCAAATCGGAATTCTGTGAAAAACATTCATTGATTAAAAAGCGGGATTGAAAATTTTCCGATTACTTAGACTATTACGAAATAGAGGTTTACGGTGGGAGGGTGAAAATTTAGCGATGTATGTTTTTTATTTACGAATTACAAAATTAAAGAGTGCACGTAAGATTTACACGTAATTGAAGTAAAACTGTTTTGCTATCGTACGAGATTGCATTTAAGTTAAAAATAAATACATCATATAACAATTTTGAATCATGTTTGTTAGTCATATGGTAACACTCGCAATGTACACATTTTTATTGTCAAACATCATACATATTTATACAATAATAAATTATAAATTATATATTTATAATATCATTAAAAATACTCATATTTGAAAACACAAATAAAATTAAAGTTACACTTCTAATACGGCATGATCGGTTTGTCATTGTAATCAAGCATTTAGGACTTGAACGCTCAATCATTGGCACTCGAGTCGACAGATTTACACCCTAGTCGCGCCTAAAGAAGTTTTACTTCAAAAATTGTTCCAGAAAATAAATTTTAGGGGAATCAATCCTCATCACAGTGAGCCAATCTCATAAATCAGTTCAAGTTTATTGAAGTTTTTATATATAATACTTTTAGCCTAATATGTGCAAAACTCAATGTAATGAACATCAATTTTTTTTGTTGCAAATACAAGTTAGATTTTAGAATATTCGTAGCCTGATGTTCGTTGCTTGGTTGTTATATCATGTTGACATGCATTATTTTTTCTATCAAAGAAATACTTTCCACATTTTTGGTTATTTTTAATTTCGCAAAATCATTTAGATCGATAACCATGAAACAGTAAAGCTACAAGGATTGCCAACGACGTAATATTAGATCACATATCCCACTTCCCTGAAATCTTTACTAAAAAGTGTTATTAATTTATATTTTATTACTAATATTTACTAATACTTACTAATACTTACTAATTTTGTTATAATTTAATAATTTTTGTGCATACATTTTTTTAGAACTAAATTCAAAACATGTTTCGACAAATTAACGAATTTGCCAATAATTTAAGATTACAAGTTATTGGTTTGGTGCAAGTTTTGTTTATAATAATTTTGTACATTTATTTATATAATATATTTATGTACATACATATCATAATGCTGGTATATGTTTGTGATACATTTTGCATATTTTCAAATCATATGTTAAATTGACGATTATTTTCTTATCCTTTTGATTCCAATTATTTGATCACAAACATATTTATCAGTTCCCATCAAAGAATATGTAAAGTTTTTTTTATATAGATAAAATATAAGTACTGCATGCAACTTTATTTTCAGCTATAAATTAAAATTTTGCATATTCTTAGTAATAGAGAAGTCTCAGAGAGCAATTTTCGAGTAGATTCATACATTTGTATTTAATTTTTTGGAGAAAAAAGAACGTTATATGACTCATTTTACATTTATAATTTTATAAGTAAAGCGTCTTAATATGAAAACTCTAACATTACAATGTTACGTTAATTACTAATTTAATTTTTAATTCATGGCATTAATGATATAAATATATGTGATATAATTCATTCTTGATATTTTGTTTTAAAAAAGTAATCATATATTTTTGATTTAGATCTTATTTAGATATTGATCAATTTCAATCAGAAAAGGCATTAAATTTTTTTTTAAATGTTATAAACTAATTTTATTAAACAATTATAAGAATTGTAGAAGTATTTTGTCATATTTTACTTTCTGAAGCAAGTTTATGAATTAATGTTTTGTATTTCCAATTAAGTTAACATCAGCATTAATTTTTGAACTGTTTATCTTTGGATTAACAATAATATTTATTAATAATATATTAAATTAGTTTCATAGATTCTTTACTAGAATAAAACTTCATAGATCATGAATTACTATGCAATGTCGAATCGATATTTTACTATTGTTTAAATTCAAGGAAATCTTATTTGAAACCAATTATAATAACCATTTTTGACAACTTTAAAATGAATCTTCTTAAAGAAATTAAAAATAAAATTCTCATTGGAACAAAAAGAAGATAAAAAAAATCTTATTAGACTTCAAAATGTTTTATACAAAAATAACAAAACAGTATCAACAAAAGGAATGATACTCCTTTCTTTTTTTTAAATCATCGCTTATAACATATATCAGGTTGGGGAAAAAGAAATTCATTTTTCGGTTAATGGTTGTACTGATTTCTAGAAAAAAATAGTACTGATAGAATTTTTTTTTGCTATTTGATGCATTCAGTTGTGAGTTAGAGTGTTAAAAAAGAAAGTGAACAAAGAGAAAATTCGGTACATTTTACAGTTTTTCTTTAATAAAGGCGAAAATGCAAGCCAAACGGCTAAAATGGTGAATGGCGTTTATGATTCCAATACTGTAACAGCAAATTATGTGCAATTTTGGTTTTGTAGATTCCATTCAGGAATTTTTGGTGCTAACCCTTTTCACTCGGATGCCATCACTCCGGCGGCAAAATTTATATAAATCTCGGAATTCGCGAGTCGAAAGGGTTAGAGATGCACCTTGCACTGGTAGGCCGGTCATCGAAAATGTCGATCAAATCGGAGAAATGATCGAAGTTGACCGGTATGTTGGAAGTCCTAAGAACGCCGAGGAGCTAAAAAGCGACCATAAAACAGTTCTAGACCAATAAACCAAAAATAATAGATTTCTTTTGCCCCAACTTGAGCTACAAGTACGACTTTGGATTCAATGATTAAAAATACTTGCTAGAAAATATGAACAAAAATGTAATACTCATAAAATTTGCTCTCATTCAGACCATCATCTATGAACTCATTTATCCACCCATATCCATCTATCCATCCATTATCATCGGTGTCTTTTTTGTTTGTTTTATGTTTTCCTCGGGGTGTGTCATATTATGTCAACTCATCACATCGCATTTCGCAATTATTCCTACTACGGTTGGCTATCACTTCTCGCTATCTGTGTTGTGGTATCATTGTAAAAATGAATGTGGTATCTGTTATGAAACGCAAAAATGGCGAAATGGCATTTGCGCGGATTCCGAAATATAAATAAATAAAAAAGAGGGATTCGACGCAATGGGAGATGTATTGCGCCCGTCAATGAAAGCGAATCAAAACGCAGGTACGAACCAGGCCGGAGGAGCGCCCGGAGCGCCTGGACAGGGACCAGCGGCCGGAGGCAATCAGACGGGGAAGGTGCTCACTGGTGATCTGGACAGCTCGCTGGCGTCGCTGGCGAATAATTTGACGATTAACAAGAGTGCGCAGGCGCAAGTCAAGTGAGTAGTAGTAAAGGATTTATGTATGTATATTAGGGTGGTCCTTAATATGGATGTTTTCGAATTTCCTTGCTCCCAGGGGCTCAAAATGCTTCAAATTGATAAAATACAATACTCTGAAAGATTTAGCTCTTAATATTAACTTTAAGATAGTCCGCACTATACATTCAGTGAAAAACATTCATTAATTGAAAGATTACTAACATGACTATTGCAAAATGGGGCTTTCTGGTAGGAGGGTGAAAATTTATTTTTGTGTATTTTAATTACGACTTAAAATAAAAAAAATAATGCAAGAAAGAATGTTGCCCAAAAAAAAATATCAAAATTACCTGCAAATTGGTCAAACAGTTTCAGAGTAGCAATTCAAAGAGCATTGATTTTGTAAAATTTAAATTTGAATTTTCTAAATTACAAAACTATTTTAATAAATCTTCAATTCATTATGATTCTCAAACAACACACTATAATATTAATTATGAATGTTAGTATCAATTTCTGTGCAAATCCAACTTGAATTACCATTCCATTATCATTTTTACTATTTATTTTATCATTTTAGGGGCGTAGCCTGGAACTCTCCCAAGAACTCAGCGAAACCAGGATCAACGGGCTGGACCCCACAACCTATGGCAGCCACCACTGGTGCAGGATACAGACCTATGGTAAAAATCATTTAACTATAAACGGTACCTGTAAATATTATTATAAAATTTGGCATGAGCTAAATTTTCACAATGCATTATTTGATCTTTGCTTTTTTAAAAGAAATCTATTATTTGACAATATTCTACTGTTGTCGAAGTAGCACTTATCGTTTTGTAAATATTTTCAAACGATTTTTGATATTAAATATGTGGCATGTTGTAAATGTATGATTTTGACACTGAAATAATTGAAAACACAAATTAGATGATTTGCAAAATTATATATAATTTTATAAACATTTAGTGCAAATTGTTACTGGGTTATATTGTTGTCGAAGTAATTGACCTGTGGCATTTTTGTCCAGGAACTTTCTCATTCATTATATTATATATATATATATATATATATATATATATCTTTTTACAATTAATTATATATTCTTAATTGTAAAAAGGTTTTTATTAAACATGAATTAACATTTTTATAACACAACTGGAGCAAATTTCCAATTTATATTATTTAATGTTTGGGCTAAATTAAATTACATAAAAACTAATTTTAATTCAATATTGTTGCATAAAACAACAAAAATGTGTGGTAAAATTTAAAGGTACACTGCAATTGATATAATTTGTTATGGTAAACTTATAATTTGTATATGTTAAAGAAAATGTTATGAAATATTCAAACGTTTCTCTGGAGTAACTACAATCACTTGTAAATTAACTAAATAATGATTTTTCTACGAAGTATCGCCAACTTTTTCTATTAATCTCTGAAACAAAAATTATTATATCATTTTAATAAATTATTACTTAATTACAAATTTCTGGAAATTATCATTTAATACATAAAAGAGCAAACATTAGATTTTTTGAAATTCCAATTCATAATGAATACATGAATAATTGTAATGCATTTTTGATAAATCTTTTTCTTTTTTTGAGCATGATCAAATATAATTTTTTTTTGAGTATTAAATTTATTGGCAAAACAGTTAGTTGTTTTTTAATTTAAATTTAATATATATTCTACTATTTAATATTTTTTTGGTCCTCTTTTTCATGTCAATTCTCTGGAGTTTTTCCTTTCTTGAGTCAATGTTACATTAGTTCTATGGAGCAATATTTAGAATAAATATAATACTATGCAGAATATAAAGCTTTTATATAATTTTTATATAATTAAAAGTGCACAGCTTGATTACTGCCAAACAATAAACCAAACAAACAAAATCAACTGCTCAAAGCATTTGCCAAAGTTTAGCTTTTCCTTACCATGCACTCTAAAATCTTTATAATTCCTTAATGCCATTTATTATTTATTTATATTTTAATATTGATATAATTTAATTTATTGTTTCTTTATTGCATTGAATTGCATTTTGCTTGCATGTTTGTTTATTCTTTTTCGTTTTCGGTGATTGTTGTGTGTAGGGTCAGGGCATGCCCTTACCGCCTGTGATGCACTCGCCACCGCCAACACTTGTGATGCCCATGGTGGGCCTGGTGAGTAGATTTATTTACTAATTGTATTGTTAATAATAATAGACATAGTGAAGCATTCTATCAATCTGAATAATAATCATAATAAAATGTATTTTGCCCAAAGGCAGGATGGTGTGAGAGCACCTCAAAATCAATGATTTCTCTTTCCTTCCTTGTTTATTATTTCCATTACCAATCTTCACTTCTCCAATCATCTTTATGAATTTTTTTCCCAAACTTCTGCTTTGATGCTTCCTGGTTCTTTGCTTTGGCTGTAAGTTTCCTGTATTTTCTCTTCTTGTCTATCTTGCCTTGATGATCTTGCCTCATCATCAACCATTTGGATTCTTCTTCTTTCCTTCTAATTTACCATCGACGACATCATCTAGAAGGCACTCTTTTTGCAGAATGGGGGGTGTGATCAGTAGAGTTTTATATTTGCCTTTTCTTCTCTGGACTTTCTCCTTTGATACCTTTTTTGTCCACTTCATCTTCTCCATTATTCTCTCCAGCACATTTCACAACCTTCTGGATAGTTTTTGTCTGCCTTTCTTCAGTCCATGTCTTTGATTCAAAATATTCTAAACCCATATCACAATTTAACATCTCAATCTTCCTATTTCCCCTTCCAGCAAGGTATGGCTGCCGCCGGAATGCGGCCGATGATGATGCCCCAGACCGGCGCTTCAGGAATGATGGCACCGCAAGGAGCCCCCGGCATGATGCCCCAGGCGATGATGGGAGCGCCTCAAGGAGTCAATTTTGGTAATCCTGCTGCGGCGGCCGGAATGCCGATGATGGGCATGGGGGCGCAGATGCAAACGACGAACAATCAGAATATGGCCAACATCCAACTGGATCCGTTCGGCGCATTGTAAAAAAATTAATTAAAAATGTACAGGGACGAGTAGGGGATGTGTGATGTAAGGGGAAAGAATTTATGGATTCAATGAACAGGTGAAATAAAAATAATAAAAAATAATTGGTTGTGTTTGTATGAAAAAGGACTGATTGTGAATGTGGAAGTATGTATAGTATATAAGTGAAAGAGGCGATTAATACGAATTATATGGACGATTTACCTACTTCAAATTTTAGAATGGTCAATTGGTCACATATAGATGTTCATGGGCCATATTATTGGTAGTCATTGCAAGTGTCTAATCTAAAACTGATTTCATTCAAGTTGAATTTCTTATATTTTATTATTTTTCTAGTATTATTTTATTATTTTGAAATTTTATTTATATTATTTATTAATCTTATTTTTATTATTATTTGCTTATATTTTACATTAAATCATATTACGGATATTATTTTCATGTAAATTTTATCCTTTGCTCTTTTATTTATTTAAATTTATATTATTATTTATCAATATTACTTGATGTTAATAAATTAGCAGTTGTAATAATTATTGAAATTAAAAAAAAAAAAAAAAATTCAAGTTGAATTGGCACTTTTTGATATTCAAGGTTTTTAAATATTATTGCCATGCTTTTCATTCTTAAATTCATAAATTTTTGAAATGCAAGGCAAAATCCACACATTTATTTTTAAATTCCATTTATTTTGTGGCATGTCTAGCGAATCAAGGGAGATTTCAAAAACTCACAGCTTTACCATAGCTTTATATGGTACGTAATACCTTTCCAAAAACTGTTACATTTTCAGATTTCAATATTCATATTCTACACTTTTTTGCTTAATTTGCTGATTTTTGAAACGATTGACATCATACATATTAGCATATATGATGTCACATCAGAAAGTGATTATTCTGGTTTTGTAATCGTAATGATCTCAGATATTTTATATAATATTTTTATGTTAGAAATAACATATCTTTTTTTTTCTAAAGCTTTATGGATCAGTATACATTTTATTTCTCTATAGCTAACATATTTTAGATACAACATTTTCTATTTGCTTGTAGCATCGTTATCGTTATTAGTCACTATGAGTCTCTCTCTTTAACTGTTCATAATGTGATTAGTAAGTGTGATTAATGAGTTATTAGAAGAATTTGTTTGCAATAATTTAATGCTTTAAACTTCACTATCTATTTTCAATAAATTTATAGCAAATTTTGCCAGTTTATTCTTTAAAATTGGTGGAAAATAACCAGTATTTAAGTATACTTTACTTTTTAATATCAAATGATTTAATATAATACAAACTTCCAGAGATGAAACTTTACCTTCAATTTCAAATGATGCCTGACTTTGTCTAAAATGCATATCCTTTGGCAGGAATTCCTTGAATATTCTAGACATTTGTCAAGCCTTAAAAATATAATTATAGTGAATCATTTTACTGATACACTTGTTCTAATGCTAATTCTATTGATACATTTGATATAATGCGAGTTTTACAACCAATTTTCAAAATATTTCATTCTACAAGAACCCTTAATTTTGTGTACACATGGACATTTTTGCAGGTGTGTGTTCCAAAGTTCCTATTTGTGTTACCAGCCGAATCTTCTGATTTAAATTGTTGTCTGTTATAAATCGAAATAAGATATTAGACTCTAATATTCATCTAAAACATTCTATTAAATTTAATTGAATCCTAATCTAATCGGTCTAAAACATTTCACATTTGACATATGACATATTTGACATATTGTTTAATTTCAAATTACGCAATCTTTTGCAAAAAATTTTAAAACAGAAATGTAAAGCTTCTATGAGGGTTTGAAACAATATCTCACCTTTCCCACATTTTCTGGGTGGCAAGAATAGACCATGACTGGTCAAATCTGTTCAGTTGTTTTAGAGCCTTAGCATACCTAACATAATTTCGAGCTCCATTTGTATATATAAGATAAAGATATATAGATATATTTATAACATTTTTATATTTGTGACCTCTTTGACTATAAAATATTTTTTCCTTTTCAGCCCGAATCCAATCCAATCCAAATTGACTTGGTTTCCTAAACCGTGGAACCTCCAAAACACGGTAACAAATATAAATAAATAAAAAAATATTATTCTTATTAATAATATAGGCAAGAAACTTGATGTTGAATATTTTCGCATGATTTATGAAGATGTCTTTGATCTGATCAATGATAATGTATTTACTACTTCATCTACTAGTGTACGTACTATAATTATTATTATTATCGAAAGAATATAATAATGAGACTTTGAGAAAAGATGTGCAATTTGTTATTTAATTGTTTAATTAATTGATAATTGATTCATCATCGTCTATACATATTTTTGTATAAAACTCTATTTGTTATTTGTAAGTACAAGGTTTTTTTTCCTTAGCTGGAAACTTTTGATGCAGATGGATAATTGAAGATGGAACTCGAATTAATAGTTTTTTAGTCTTTAGTATTAGTGGTGTTGAGACTACTTGAGTATTAATTGAACCAAGTGCTGTTTGTTAAATTTATCTGAACTTTACAGAAATCACTAGTATATCTTGTGTATATAAGTGATATTGAATATATATATAATTTTTTTTCTCATTTTTCCTCTGCATCAATTGCTTTTCCAATATGATTATCGAAGTGTTTTCCAACATTTCAATGGATATTAGCCGTGTGATAACAGAGTTTAATGTTGAGCATTTTTTCAATTTTTTTCCAAAAAAGATTGCTTAGTTTTTTTTGGAAAAGCAAATATGATTTTTCCTCATTATGTAAGCGTAATGTAAAATTTTTGAGTCCTGTTGAATGTTTGAGAGCGAGTTTAAGGTAAATATTATCATTATTATTGTATATGTACACTGATACATAATTTACCGTTTACATATTTATTATGTTAGGTTTTTTTATATGTATAAATCTAAAAATGTGTATACTTTAAAATTTGTAATATTGTATGTAATTATTATTATTAAACATTATTATTATTATTATTACTATTTTTGTTTGGTTTTCTTATTTAAGTGCTTCATTTATTTCGAAATTTTATATTTTTGGAATACTTCAGTTTTTGTTGGCACCTGAAAGCAAGGGTTTTTATTGTGTAGACAAATGTACAACTGTTGTATTTATTAGCCCGGTCAATTCACGCTTGCAAAGTAACTATAATTCATAATGGGCTGTAATTTGGCAAAATTGTTTAAAATACAATTATAAAAGAAATTTTAAAAGTCCTGATCGAGCTTATGCGAGCTAAAATAATGGCACAAGGTCAAAAGTCAAAAAGAAAAGGAGAAGAAAACAGAAGAAAATGAAGAAGAAGAAGTAGATCAAGAAAAACGATACGAAAAAGATGTAAAAACATTTGAAAATTATGACTCACATGAAAACAATTTAGTTGCTTTTATATAATGACCTTTGACCTGGTGCTATTTTTTTTTTAGCTTGCATTGGATCGATGAGGACTTTTGAGATTACTTTTATAATTGTATTTTAAACTATTTTGCCAAGTTGCAGGCCATTATGAGTTATAGTAACCTTCACCCTGATTTTAGGTATAAATTGACCGGCATATTATATAACAGTCACTATTAGTGATGTACCAATTCGAATCAAGCGTGTTATATCCTTCTTTGAATCAGACTTTACTCGATTCGAATCGAATTTGTCTTGCGGTATTGAATATGATGCCTTCGATTAGCAATTTATAATTTCTTTCCTTAAGTTCTTTTTTTTTTATCATTCTATTACCTTTAATTTGATATCGTTTATCAAAACAAAGATGTATTATATCTATATGTATATTATATAATATAAAATAATATTAATGTCAATAAGATTAATTGAATTCTTCAATTGTACAAAATCAATCATACTTGATGCTACATTTGTCAGCTTTGCTTCTTGAAATGTAGGTAGATTTCGTAAAAGGAAAATTGATGCTTTTTGATTGATTTAACAAGTTAATTGTGATTTAGGGTTAAATTTATATTTGAATATAAATAATATGATTTTTGTAGTGACATTCCTTAGGCGTGAACTCGAGATTGAATTGTAGTCGTAGTAAAAAAAAAATCACGAATTTTTTTAGAATAACTGATGACAAAAATGAAAAGGGTTTTGTTTGTTAACCCTTTCCACTCGCTAATTCCGAGATTCATATGAATTTTGCCGTCTGAGCGGCGGCATCCGAGTGGGAACGGTTAAATTACAATTTTAATGAATACAAAGAAAAATATTTTTGTTTTTAATTTTTTTTGCAACCTCTAGAACAAAAGATTTGTATGATTAAGACAACTGTGCTCAAATGCTTCATTTGTATTAAAAAAAATTTAAAAGTTAAATATATTACATCATTAAAAAAAGAATCTGCATGCTCAAAACATTATTTGAAAATAATAAATTTTATTATTGTAAAAAATTATTTGATCATTTTTGTGAGTTATATATAGTTATTATATATTAATCTTAATTGAAGTTTAGAAAGGCTTTGGAGTCGACTCTCTGATAAAATACATATGTTATGGCAACGCTATGTTACGGGTCTATCTTCGTATGAATTGGTATTGAAAACTATCAGAAAGCTGTGTATTTGCACTATATGAAAACTAACTTCACGTATGTGTTATCAATGGTACATCAAAAAGATGCACTTTTGCACATCATTGAAACGTGGTTTGTGGGATTTGTAGGTTAGGTTTTGTGTATAAAACGCCTGATCGAACAGCAAAGACATATCCTATTGACAGTTGTTTACTACTAATTCATACAAAGATAGACCCGTAACAAAGCATTACTTGACATTTCTATTTTATCCACGAATTGGACAACCAATAATTAAAGATTGATATAATTATAATTACATTTAACTTGAAAATAATAAAATATTAATTATTATAAAATTATTAGTAATTTAGAAACACTGTGTTTTTTCTACACGACTACAATTTTCATCTCGATTTTGTCTATTACCATTTTTAAAATTTTTCAATTTTTTTTTTTATTTTTCATTTTTATTTTCCATCATCAACAATTCTAAAAACAAATCCGCATATTCAAATAGACCATTTTTCATTGTCAATATTAAAATAAATAATGTTGGAACATGTAAGACAATATGTTATAGAAAATTTGAAATTAAAATTCCAAAAAAATATTTAGGATAACAAGCGGCAATGTCGATTATTTTAGTTTAGTCGAAAACATAGATTTATATTTGTATTTTAGTCTTTTTTACGTTGGAAGTAGATTGTGCTAGAAAGTTACTTGAATTTAAATATATATTTGTGTTTTAAGGGGCTTGTATTTGCTAATGATAATAAATATACTACATTTTTTTTTGTTAAACGAGTAAACATATTATTAATTAAATTACAACTTTTCATAGTTTTTTAATTCGAATACAAATATTATAGTGATTATTTTTTATTTGTAGAATTTACTCGTTTTTGTAAATAATAATCACTTTATTTGTATTAGGTAAATCGTAATGTTAAATTTAATTAAAAATCGAAGGAGAAATGCCGAAATAAATTCATCACAATGTACAGAGAGAGCATATACATATTACACAAACTAATAATAATTTTTATCTATTTCTGCTCGCTAATTGCAGATTTAACCCTTTCCACTCGGATGCCGCCATTTCGTCGACAAAATACATATTAATCTCGGAATTCGCGAGTGGAAAGGGATAATACGTATTTTGCCGCCGGAGCGCCGGCATCCGAGTGGAAGGGGTTAATTCTGCAATTAACAAGTGGAAAGGGATAAAAACTATTTTATTATATTATATTAATCTCGGAATTCGCGAGTGGAAAGGGTTAATATGTATTTTGACGCCGGAGCGCTGGCATCCGAGTGGAAAGGGTTAATTCTGTAATAAGCGAGTGACTCGGATGCCGCCGCTTCATCGACACAATACATATTAATCTCGGAATTCGCGAGTGGAAAGGGTTAATACGTATTTTGACGGCGGAGCGGCGGCATCCGAGTGCAAAGTTTTTGCGTACACTCTGAACTCTGAAGACGAGTATTTTTAATACTGGTATTGCAAAATATCGATTTAATTACAAAAAATTACGGTATATCCATAAAATTTGCTTTATTTAATGGTTTAATTATTAAATAATAAATGTATTATTGTTCTAATATTTTTATTTAATAATAATGTTACAATTTTGATGCCAAATTAGCATTTTTTTTATAACAATTATTATAGGATTCAAAATTTTGAGTCGTCTATCTTCATTTTTAACCTTTTCCACTAGCGAATTGCAAGATTTATATGTATTTTGCCGCCTGAGCGACGGCATCCGAGTGGAAAGGGTAAATTTAATACTATATTAGAATTATATACTTGTTCAGTTGAAATTAACCGTATAACTATTCATTATATATTTTACGTCAGAATTCGAAAACTCCTGATGTATTCTAAGTAATTTTTCAAAATAAGTTTTTTTCAAATTAATTTTCTCTATCTTTTATTATTGCAACTGCAAGCCTCTTATTTCATTTATCAATTAAAATTTTACAAACGAATGGCCGTACTATCATTAATTAATTAAAGCTAATTTTAAACGATTATCATAATTATGATGAAAGTAAGTACATAGTTATGAATTATAAATGTGTAAAATAAGGTATGTTGTCGTCAAAAATATAAATATAAATATATATTATATATATAAATGATTATTGATAAATAAATAAATATATACATATTATATATAATAGTAACCCCCCCTCAAAATGCATAGTTTATATTATTACTCACAATTGTGTAAAACATATGATGTGTAAATTAAAAAATATAGCTTATTATCATCGGATGTACCGAATTTTGGTTTTTTATTTAATTAAAAATTATAAAATATTATAGGCCTGCGGAAATTGATTGGGATATAAAATTTCATTTTATTAGATGCAAGCTCGTATTTATACTAATTAATTGCATTAAACAGTTTTTAGTGGAAGAAATTCTATTTTCGAAATAAACACTTGAAAATTTTGTCTCAATAGCCAAATCTCAATTTTTATTGATGCAACTTGCCTTAAGGCCAAATGCCACTTACACCTATTTAATTTTTACAAACATCTATTTTCTAAACCTAAAAATTTTTATGGAAATCTAATTTTTCTAAATCATCAGACTATTAATTAATTTTTTCAGCTTCACCATTGTATAAAGTTCCATATGCCGCTCCCGTACTATTATTCCTTTGACCAATTTGTTCATTTTGATTTGGAACATTCTTCCTACCATCATCCAAAATCTGCCGATTCAAAAAAACGTTCTCCTGATTGGCTCCAGCGTTAAATCTTTGACCATCCACGTTTTTACCCCTTATATTTTCATCCGGTCTACGAACTCCCAAATCATTGTTCTTACTCTGCTCCAATCTTCTGTTCTCCTCAAATCTTCTCTTATCTTCTTCAGCTCTTCTATTGGCTTCCAAAGCTTCAAACCTCTTAGCTTCTTCATTCCTCTTTAGTTCCTCCAAGTCCACGCCTCCAGAAGCAGGATGACGTTTACCACCTTGGTTTCTTCTATTATCGTCGAATCTGGAGTTGAAGTTTCTGTTGTCCTGATAATTATTTTGTCTGTTTACAGGAAATTGCTGCTGCTGTTGTCTTCTATCATCGGTAATCTGGACGTTTTTGTCGTGTGCGCTATTTGGACTCCTGGTGTCGAAATTGGATCCATTCTGATTGACGAGATTGGGTTCGAGTTGATGTTGGGGATCTGCAAGATTATCGCGGGGTCCTGGATAAAAATAAATTGGACTTGTAGAAATAAATGCGGCAGTGTATGATTTCAATTGCTGTACTACTAATTGTTCTACATTTACTGTTAATTACCTTGGTTTCCGCCAGAATGAGCAACCTGCAAATCATATCCAGTAGCATCCAATTGTCCTGGATGATTTCCATCATCAACAAGGAATAAATCACCAGACGGTATAATTTCTAAGAAAACTGGAGCAGGAGTGATGTAGAAATCAGAAGCAGAATGGCAATCAAAATCGTACCTATTTGGAAAAACATGATTCCGCAATCAAAATCTAAGAATTATATGGATTTTAAGTTCCTACTCACCACCAGTCGCACACCAGATGCCTTTGGTTAAAAATACTGCCTTTTGGACACAGAAAGGATGTCTTGTGTGCGGCTGTACCACACACATGAAAAACCTGAAAAAATATGAAAATCATAAACAAAATGCTATATGTTACTTAAAAAGAATTAAAATTGAGGTAAATTTTTCATCCATGATAGTACCTGACAATTAGCTTCCTGGTCGGCATAGTAACCGGGTTCTCGTCCTTGGCAACTAAAAGCAGTTTTTGGAATAAAATCGTGCACTGGGTAGTCTTTAACAGGTTGTCCAGGAATAGTTTTTAGCTGCTGCTCCTGCTCGGCATCTAAATCCGTTTGCTATAAAATCATGAAAAAATATTTCTCGAAGTTAAAATTGAGGTCATCATCAGAAAATCTCATTTGCTGAAGTTAATCCCATGTAAATCCTGAAGGATATTTTGCTTTTCGCGATAATAATACAATTTGTTAATTTTATGTTTTTCGACATGTGACGTCATTCTGAATCGAATGAGACCAAATTGTATGTGTGTGTGTTTATGTGCATTAAATTAATTAAAAATTATCAGTTTTCATATGACAAACGCAGTCCAGATTTTCTAAATCTAGTTCTCTATCAAGTGACGTGTGCAAATTGCGCGGTCAATTTTTTATTTATTTTTTTAACTTTTTACATTTTTTTATCTTTCCAAAATGTATCCCCATCAAGACCGTTCCCCTCTAATTTGTCCTGCAGGTGTTAAACACGTAAGAGAGTGGTCAGTTCCTGATTGTCTTCAAGAATACTCCCTACAAGAAAAATTAGACGTTGTCATCAAAGGTTTTAAGAAAGAACCACCTCCTGTGGTCAAAACCAAATTGAATCCAATAAGATATGCAGGAATTTATACGGAAATCAAGAATGTACTCACACCAGAACCGCCGTCTGGTTTTAAAATGCTATTGGAAGACTTGGGGGAAACGACTTACCACAGTTATTGGAACAAACCTTTAGGTAAATAAAATATATCCTGTTATATGTCAATCAGCATTATCCTGATTTTATTTATTTCTTTTCCCAGGTAAGGGTCGTGATCCTCGTCCACTGTTGCCACCAGGAGTCACCAATGAGTCCAGGTACTTTGGTAAACCACCTGTTAAAGGTGAAGCGCTTTATCCAATAATTTTACCGGAAAAAAATCAGTGTCAAGTTTTGAAAGAAAGCCGAATAGGTAAGGATTTGTACAGGAAGACCCATGCTAAATATGATCCTAGTGAAAGGATTAATAGAGAGTATTGTAAACCGTTTAACCCTAATGCGACTTTTGGAGTGGCTAAGGATAATTTGAAGAATGGAGTTGAGAAATGTTTGAGATGGAGAGGTAATAAAAATTAGCACTTTAGATAATATTTTTAAGTTTCCAGAGTAGTTCATGTTTTTGCTAGAAAATCCGATTTGATAATTTTATGTTTTCTTGACGTTACAAGTCATTCTAAAACGATTTGAGATATGTGTGTATATTTGGGCCGATTTTTGACCTTTCTTCAACGCATCGGAAAGTTTCTGCAACTTGCCTTAAGTTCTCTTTCACCTAGTTTATTAGTTTATTTTTCTAATTCAGTATGTCTTTTCTTCAGGTTTGGATTACTACGCAGGCATAATGCAGACGACCCAGAACCTCGATTTGTTAGGCGACTGCGAACCTCCGAAGGACGAAGCGAAACACTTGGAGACCATCAAGCGAATAAGGGCGCTCGGATTCGATGAAGGGTTACCAGTGGTGAGCGAAGTTAGTGCCATCTTGGGAGATCGGATTGATCGATTCGAAGACCACGTTGGATCGGGTAATAATTGATTTTGATTTGGAAGTAACATCCTTGATGTACATAGGTAAATCTTTTTACTTACGGAAGGTCATATGATAGTTCTTTAAATTTTGAAATAAAATAGCGAAATTAATTTTCTACTTCACGCATAAAAAGAATTAAGTTCATGTCGATCATAATGACCCTTTAATTTTGCTTGGGACGCAACGCTTTATATGAGTCTAGTCCTCCACAGTTGCTCTAGACTCATTTAATTTTGGACGCTAATAATTTTAGATTATCACGAATAAGTTTTTTTTTCTCCAGGTGCTGCTCCAAATTCCAACTACCTCAAAGTCCCGAGCTGTTTCACCTATGGAATTCCTCGTACCGAAACCCAGAGTGTGGCGAGTCTTCTCCGAGACAAACCCATCAGTCCAAAATTAGTGCGCATGCAGGAATGCATAGCTCATGTCAATTCCGTTCGCAAACTTTTGAGAAGAAGAAACGAACAACTACCTTATGAGGACATTAGGGATCAGTTGTTGTTTATGGACAAGGAAAAGTGCGGCTGGTTACCATTTTATACCGTCGTCAAGTTTTTGAAAAAGTACAATGTGTTCTTTGACCACAAGTGCATTGTTGATATATTTAAACATCTAGGTGATATTTTGCCTTTGTGTCCTGAAGCAGCCGCTGAAAAGGTAATCACTTCTAATGTGCATCATATAACTTGCTTGCTACTTTAAATTTCAACTGTTTTTGCTTTTGTTAGGCAAAAGATCCAGAAGAAATTGCCAACAAACTGCGTAAAGAAAAACTACAAAAATACTCGTGCCAAGAAAATCCCGACGATTTCAGCGACATGATGATAGACTACTCAAAACTTGTAGACATGATAGACTGCAAAAAGCACTTAACCGAACTGGGTAACATTGATGACACATCCAGAGACGACGTCCACTACAAAACAACATACACTGCTTTCACCTTAGACCACCAAAGGGACGTCCATAAAGATCTTCTACCAGCTGGTAATCCATCTATAAGAGTGGACAAAGCAGATCCTGTGAGACCTGCTAAAGGATGTGTGGCTGATATCGATAATTTAGGAGACGAATCATCAGCTGCTTCAGTTGTTTTTCCGAGTATCATGAGTTTGTATGGTGTCAATCACAGAGATTTCTTTTTACCGAGAGAAGGCAAGGTGATAAAAGGGATCTTTGAAAGGACTGGTGTTGAGTTTCCTGATAATACGTTTGATGTTATTTTTGAGGAGAGTTGTAAGGCTGATTGTTTTCCTGGAAAACCGAATATGTGCTGTATTGAGACGTTTAGGAATCATTTGCATAAGTTGGCACACGAGTATTATAATGCGACAACATGAATTAGTGGGAACGGTTTGGGGTTGTTTTGAATAAAGAAACATTGATATTATTTCGTATTCTCATTATATCACTTTTTTCAACTTTTTGAATGGACTTAATGACTATCACTTCATGAAAAATTGTGCTTAATGTCTTTACTTTTTATATTTATTCTGTACTGTATATTCTTGTTATTGAATTGCACTCTATATTAAAAAGATATGAATTATTTTGTAAAACGTTATAAACAACTATTTAACTTTCCGTAGGTTATTGTAATCTTACCTTAGAAAAAATGGATGTGTGTATGTGTATGCGCGTGCGGATACAAATTTTCGACCACGATTTCGGGCGACGGATCAACCGATTCCAATGATTTAAAAATCATTCGATTTCTATTGATATGGAAACATGATGATTAGTTTTTAGCCAATGCAGGTCTAGCCGTTCCCAAGATACTGAGAACAATGTGCTAAAAATGGTAATACAGTTTTTGAGAGAACGAAGCGTCCGATTTGAATGATTCAAAAGGCGTTTTACTTGTATTGACGAAATAAAGTACTGATTGAAAAATTTTAGGAAAGGCAGGTCTATCGGTTTTGGTTATCCAATATTTTTTTAAAAACTATTTGGCGGTCAAAAATGATTATTAGATATATGCTATTAAGAATGAGAGTTGATTAGACCCTTTTGAAATAGCTTATTGAATTTGATTCAATAGCTACTCCGAGGATTTTGTAAAATTGAGTATTAAGGAAACAATTGATGTTATCTGCTTGGAAGGCGGCCCAGTCGGAAGGCTGCTTGAAGTCCGGAATTCTCAGATCGATCTAGGAATTGTATGCCTAGGAAGAAATTTACTACAGAAGCAGAATAATTGAACACTGGCTGCGATTATTAAAAGTATTCTTTCACAGGAATAACAGATAACACTCGGAAAATTCAACAAACTTATACGGAAAAACAAGTGAGCAACGTTTATGAATAAACAAGCGAGTCTGTAAACCCTAATGATTAGCGTTTATATACAAATCTTCTTCTTTCGGGATTGTCAGAGACTAAGTATTGTTCGACTCTGACAAATGCAGCTTCTGGCGCGAACATATTATGCACATCATATTATCAGATATTTTAATAATAAAAACATATTTTGTTTAAATTTCTATGAGTTCCGCACCAATGTTTATCCGTTATTTTTTAAAAATTTTTAAATTTTCAAAAATCTATTTTTTTTTCTAGGTTTAAAAAAAGTTGAATTTTATTTAAAAATTTTAATATCAGGTACGAAAAATTTTAGCAATTTGCCTTAAAGCACGACGCAATGCACCACTAGTTCCAATTTTGGTCTCAAACGATTCTGAATGGCTTGAAACGTGGAGAAAACATAAAATAAGCTAATCGGATTCTCTTCGGAAAGTTCAAAAGATAGTAACAAAACATGCAAATAATAATGAGAAGAGAATTGATCGGTTTAAATATATTTTAATGTTTTTAATGTAAATATATCACAACTTAATGTAATCTTAATCTTAATTTTAATTTTAATCTTTATATAACACGTTTTTAGGCTGAAGCAATAATATATCATAAAATCGAATAAAAAAAACCATACGTCATCTATTAATATTCACATTTGTTCCGAAATACGAGTTAATTCGTATTCGTATTCTAGCTCGCCTCGTAAAGTACAGCTGGCGTGCGAATTTATTTGATAGGCTTTATCTATAAATTTATGGTCACGAATCCGGCCTACCATCAGCCAGTCCGATCCAGACCTGAGTACACCGGAGGGACTATTTACTGTTATGGGCGAGATCAGGAAGTTATTCGCGGATCCCGAGGTAAGACAAATTTTCAGTGAGCTTTATAAACTGACAAAGACATTGAACACAAATATGACTTACAATGACAAATACACAACCATACTTAACTTTTTAACGGCATGCCCATAAAGCATGCACGCGACATACACATAATGTACTTCAACTCCAACGGACTCAAAAACAACGTAAACGAACTGAAACAGACTATAACAAAATATGACTTGGACATTGTACTAATTAACGAGACACACCTGAAACCTACGGACAGACTTTACATCAACAACTACAAAGTATACAGGAACGACAGACCGACAAACTCACGCGGATGGGGAGGCACTGCAATATTGATCAAGTCAAATATCAGACACGAGCAAGTGCCAAACCTGACAGCGGGCGGTTCTGAAATAACAACTATTAATGTATACAAAAGGGGTCAAAAAGTGACTATAATATCGATTTACATCCCGGCAAGCGGACTGCAACTGACGGACCTACAAAACCTACTTGACTCAAACACACACGTCATAATGGCAGGAGACTTCAACGCGCAACATACATCTTGGAACTGCAACTACAACAACGCGAATGGAATTCGACTCTACGAATATCTGACGGAACACAACACCACGGACGCACAACTACACTATCCTGACACACCGACCAGATACGCCACCGTACAGACACACCATCACAGCACAATCGATCTGGCTTTGACAAAAAACATTCACATAACATCCGAACCCATAACTAGAACACTATTCAACTCTGACCATAACCCTGTTTTTATGACTAGTCTGACAGACTCGACGTCGACAATACTCCAGCACGCAACATTTTGGATTATTCCAGAGCCAACTGGCCGCTTTTTAGAGAAATTATTACAGACAATATACGACACACGATACCCATAGAGACCAATACAGACATAGAGGAGGCTGTGACACATCTGACACGGACGATCACGGACACCATCCAACACACAATACCGCTGCGACACGCAAATACATCCACATTTGACACGCTTCCTCAACAAATATTAGTAAAAATTAAATTAAAGAACAATATAAAGAAACTGTGGCAACGTACTGGTGACAGACTACTAAAGGAACACGTAAACAGACTGACAAAAATTATTCATAATGAGATACGTGAGCACCGGAATGACACTTGGACTAAAAAACTAGAAACCATCAACACTGACCCGCACAAAGTTTGGCAAACAGCCAAAAGACTGACGAGGAAAACAACACCTATCCCGCCACTCAAACTACCTGACAACAACTACGCCACGACACCAGCAGACAAAGCAGAAATTTTAGCAACACACTTTGAAAACATACACAGACAAAACGCCGACATGTCCAACGCAGACTTAAGACGAGACGTACGCAATTCTATTCAAAATTTTACTGAACAATTTAACGACAAAGACCTACGAATAGACCCTGCCACAGTTTCAGAAATAAAGTTGACAATCAGAAAAATACCGAACAGGAAAGCACCCGGACCGGACGGACTACAAAATATAATACTGAAACAACTACCAACGAACGCATACATACTAATCACACGACTGGTTAACCGTATAATGGCCAAAGGCCACTTTCCTGCTTCATGGAAAACATCGACCATATTTCCTATCCTGAAGCCGAGGAAACAGCCAGACTCTCCGCAAAATTACAGACCAATCAGCCTCCTCAATACAATGAGCAAAGTAACTGAAAAGGTACTGCTCAAACGCATCAACAGACACATCAGACGAAACAAGATTATACCAGACACACAGTACGGCTTTAAGGAACAGCACTCTACGTTACATCCACTGACACAACTAATAGAAAACACTGTACTCAACTTCAATAGACGAAACCATACCGGATTGGTGTTGCTCGATTTCGAGAAGGCTTTTGACACCATCTGGATGGACGGACTGATACACAAATTCATAACCCTTAACTTTCCACCATACATCACAAAACTACTCCATTCTTACCTCGCAGACCGTAATTTCACAGTTCAAGTAGACAACACACCCTCGACGATTAAACAAGTGACGGCGGGAGTACCGCAGGGCTCGATCCTGGGACCGTCCTTGTTTAACGTCTACATCCACGACATGCCCACTGACGCCGACACAACACTGTTGACATTTGCTGACGACACTGCCATTTACAGATCATCACGTTCACCTACGCTACTGACTACAAAAATAGAGAGACATATAGACGCCCTGACTGATTACACGGAAAAATGGCAAATTAAAATCAATCCTTCTAAAACAGAAGCAATTTTCTTTACAAAAAGCCGTTGGTCCATTACACTTACTGACTTGACGAAACTAAAGGTAATGGGCCATGAAGCTGAGTGGTCCAAGGAAGTCAAATACCTTGGCGTAACCTTGGACTATAGACTCAGCTTCACAAAACATACGAATACAAAAATTGGACAGGCTTACGGGATGATGAATCTACTGAGACCTCTTTTGAACCACAACAGCCCGCTAAGCGTGAAGAACAAGCGGACACTTTACTTGACACTGATAAGTCCATTACTGACATACGCCGCTCCGGCATGGAACGCGACAACCAAGACCAACAGACGGAGACTACAAATAGCACAGAACAAAGCACTGCGACTGGTACTAGACAAATCAAGGAACCCACTGACGAGACACTACTACCCAACGAAATATTTACATGAACAGACGGACATACCGACTATACTAGAATACATAAAGAAGCTCACTGAAAATTTTTACCGAAAGTGTAGGGATCACGATAATAGTACCATCCGCGCGTTAGGCCAGTACACATCAGAAATGATCTGGTACGGGAATTATGCCATGCCTAACTACCTGATCGAGCCCGCAGTGAATACATAAGTCATAAAACAATGAATGAAGGATTTTTTTTTAGGAGATAAAACTTTTCTCCTTTTTTTGTCCTTAATGCGTAATAATGAACAAACTATTGTACAAATACAAATATCTAGACAATGTTGCAAAACCATAAACTTTTGGGTAAAATACCTCCAGGGTAGACAAACCCACATATAATTCACTGTATTTTACACTGTATTTATTGAATAAATTTTTATTTCTGTTCTGTCTGTATAAATTTATGGAAGCTTTGGCACTAATAAGTGAGGTTTTTTCAAATTATAAGTGTCACTGCTTTCAAGCACCAACAATATTAATTGCAAGAAGAAGTAGAAGATGGCTCGTCTTTTTGTCATTTGGTCGCAAAAATATAAATATACGAACCAAAGACAAACGACGATTTAGTGATAGGGCTACCAATAGATAGTTCTTTTCTATGCGCCATTTATTACATGTGTGAAAAATATTAGCTTAGGGACCGATTCTGCCGCATAACAAAAAAATGTTATGGCAAGACCATGTTATGAACTTACCATACTAAATAATGTGAAAAACCATGCGGTTTCTGTGCAGTCTAATAAAATACGCCTAATCGCACCGCAAATAGACATTTTTATAATTTTCACTACCAAGAACAAGCATAAGAGAGCGTTGCCATGACAACGCTATTTTATAAGCTCTGTTACGGCAGAATTGTCCCATAAAGATGTCCATATCTTTTGGTCGATTTTTAACTTCCCGTAGGGTAGTTATAGTAATGGGCCGAAAATCCAAAATGAAATTTTTTGCATTTATTTATTTATTTATTTATTTATTCATAAGCAAGCCGTAATCAATAATAATAGATATTATTTCAGGCTCTTGTCATTTCTGGACGTTTTAAAGGTTTCTGAACATTTTGGCATACCTCAGAAAAAATGGATGTGTGTGTGTGCGTGTGTGTATGTATGTATGGATACAAATTTCCAGTCACGTTTTCGGGCGTACGGATCAACCGATTTGAATGGTTTAAAAAACATTCGATTCCTATTGATAGGGAGATGTGCTGATTAGTTTTTGGCAAAGGCAGGTCCAACCGTTACAGAGATATGGAGCAAAGAGTGTAGAAAATAGAAATAGAGTTTTTGAGAGAACGGATCATCCGATTTGTATGATCCAAAAAACATTCAGTTCGTAATGA